TGTTAAGCAAATAAACAATATTTCATCGTAAATAAACACGCATGTATATGCTATACACATACACATAGAAAACAATATATTAGTTCCAGGCGTTTTGGTTTTTGTGACGCAAAAAATAGAGTTCGGATAAAAGACATTTTTGATTCTACCCTTTTCCCAGATGTATTATATATATATATATAAATTTGTGAAATAAAATGAAATTTCATGTATGGAGAAGGACAGATGATTGTATTTATACCTTTTTTAAAGATCATGTGTGTAGCTGAAGAAAATGGACATAAATAAAGATTTATTTTGGCAAAACAATATTCGATAAGTAAAATATATTCATGTGTACTTGCGGAAAAGCAGTTTCTCCTATGATGACCTTCAAGCCTTTAAGCACTCTTACAGCTATTCCTTGGAAAAAACTGTAAATCCGTTTCTTTCATATATGCATTTCCCAAAATTCATATCCGTGCAAGCTCAATTTAAATTGTAGGACAATACTAGAAAATAATAATAAAAAAAAACACCACAGGGATTTCCTGATAAGTAAAAGAGGGATAATTGTCTCAAATTTTGCACGGGTATGTGTCGGTTTTCCTTAGTTCCTTGTGCCCTTAGTTCCATGTGCCTTAGGTCATTGGGGCTTAGTTCCCTGTGCCTTAGGTCATTGTGCCTTAGTTCTTTGTGACTTAGTTCCTTGTGCCCTTAGTTCCCTGTGCCTTAGTTCCTTGTGCCCGTAGTTCCTTGTGCCCTTAGTTCCCTGTGACTTTATTCTTTGTGCCCTTAGTTCCCTGTGCCTTAGCTCCTTGTGCCTCAGGTCCTTGTGCCCTTAGTTCCTTGTGCCTTAGTTCCTTGTGCCCTTAGTTCCCAGTGCCTTAGTTCTTTGTGCCTTAGTTCCTTGTGCCCTTAGTTCCATGTGCCTTAGGTCATTGGGCCTTAGTTCCTTGTGCCCGTAGTTCCTTGTGACTTAGTTCCTTGTGCCCTTAGTTCCCTGTGACTTAGTTCCTTGTGCCCTTAGTTCCTTGTGACTTAGTTCCTTGTGTCTTAGTTCCTTGTGACTTAATTCCTTGTGCCCTTAGTTCCTTGTGCCTTAGTTTCTTGTGACTTAGTTACTTGTGCCCTTAGTTCCTTGTGCCTTAGTTCCTTGTGCCCTTAGTTCCTTGTGACTTAGTTCCTTGTGCCTTAGTTCCTTGTGCCTTAATTCCTTGTGCCCTTAGTTCCTTGTGCCTTAGTTACTTGTGACTTAGTTCCTTGTGACTTAGTTCCTTGTGCCTTAGTTCCTTGTGACTTAATTCCTTGTGCCCTTAGTTCTTTGTGCCTTAGGTCCTTGTGACTTAGGTCCTTGAGGTTCATGCTCCGTTGAGGATACAATCGAACAAAGGCCCACAGACGGAAGTGTCGTTCATATCTAGGTTCTTGGTAGGTGTTTAGACTGATTTGAAAGATTACTAAAGTTCAATTCTTAAATAAAATAATAATGATACAGTTGCAATAACGCTCAACGCACCATAAACTTGTGTACATCGACTTAACAGTACATGTATATAGTGCACAACTGCGATAACATCGCACATTTTGTGCGATTGAGTGAAAATGGTTAACTGATATTACGGATTTCAAATCGAACGGAAAAAAACTTGTATAATTATGACTGGATGCTGATCACATGGTATCCAAATTGTTTTTTTCGATTGTAGAAGTTATTTTATATCGACAGTTGCGAAATAATACTGGACCCAGCATCAAGTAGTATACACTGTATGTAGTTTTATCCCTCAGTGAGTGACGAGTGGTGGGCTAGGTTACAAAATGATAGAACAATCAGAGGAATACAGAAGAAATGAAAATAAGTTTTCCTTTCTGATGTTAAGAGATTTTAGAAGCTTAATTGCCGAGAAAAAAAGAGATGTCGGTTGAATGATTACATATAAAGTATATAAACGAAACACTTTAAATTACAGTGAATATAACTATTCAGTCTTTATCGGATAGATCTATATGCTAAACCTATGGATTAATAGGATATGGTGCGGGTGGAGTTGCTGGAAAGGGTGGGTGGGGGTCATCAGGTGCGCCCCATTCGGATCCTCCTGTCGATTTAAATGCATTAGCAAAGATAAATAAGTAATATTTCGAACTTGTTTAGCGCGTTCGACTCTTTCCTATGTGCACGTGGCTGACGTACAAAATATAGTGTCATTAGCTATCATGGCAAATTCATTAGAGTGATGTGACAGATTTAACAAGTGTTCAGTAGTCATATGTCGAATTACGCACGTGATTTATCCATATGGCAGACAAAACAAATATCCACAGTACTCCTATTATAGTTTGATTAAGTCATTGCTGACGCATTGGAATGCTACAGATGTTGATTCCCCGTGCTGGATCGGTACGACCCTGTCACGGTGAAACCCTTCAACATTCAGTTTATATATTTGCCCATGTACAATCTCGTTATTATCGGCCAAGCTTATGTGTGTTTTCTTTCTCCACGCTCATTCATTCCACGTTCATTTCAATTAGCGCTTTTTTGTATTCAAGTATAATGATATTTCAGTATGTTAAGATTTTAACGACGGGGATATTCTCCTGTAATGAATCGAAGAAATTGTGTTTGTATTTATACACGAAAGAGTTTCTAACTGTAAACTGTGGTCCTGGTTTTCGTATATAACGTCGTTACTTTACCTACATCATCTACCTTACATATGATTCCTGCAGACTAAACTAACACGTTCAAGAATGATAATGAATTACAAACGAGAATTCAGATTCGCCGCATTTGCATCTGTTTTAATACCAAGACGAGAATGTCATCTCTACTCTTTAATGGGGTTAATAACGTTTTTTTCCCTTTGGTGTGTTTATTGTGGGTATAAAATTCACCCAGCATATTTAGTACAAGTCGCTTTCTATCGATGCCTGGTTTGAATTTTTCGGGTTTTGTTTATGTCATGAACAGTATACTTACAAAGACAAGCCATTAAATGTGTTTGTAAATTCCATGTTAACCTGACATAACGGTATACTAAGGTCGGGCAGTTTCCATTTGGAATTTGTCGTCACACATTCCTTCACTAGGTCGTAGTTGGTGATTAATGTTTGTCATAAAAACATGTTTCCGGGGGTGATTAATCATATTTGTGGCCTTAATCTGGAAACTGTGATTGCAGGAAACCACAATTAATCGACAGAAATGTCAAAATCTGGAATAGGATGTTCACTAGCAATAGTTCACCGACTGTTGTTTACCATCTGCAATAGTTCACCGACTGTTGTTTACCATCTGCAATAGTTCACCGACTGTTGTTTACCATCTGCAATAGATCACCGACTGTTGTCTACCATCTGCAATAGATCACCGACTGTTGTTTACCATCTGCAATAGATCACCGACTGTTGTTTACCATCTGCAATAGTTCACCGACTGTTGTCTACCATCTGCAATAGTTCACCGACTGTTGTCTACCATCTGCAATAGATCACCGACTGTTGTTTACCATCTGCAATAGTTCACCGACTGTTGTTTACCATCTGCAATAGTTCACCGACTGTTGTTTACCATCTGCAATAGTTCACCCACTGTTGTTTACCATCTGCAATAGTTCACCGACTGTTGTTTACCATCTGCAATAGTTCACCGACTGTTGTCTACCATCTGCAATTTCAAGGATTGTACAAAACACTCACAAGATACACATGAAGCACCTTTCGATATAAATTCAAAATTATATACTAAAGATTTAGATAATGAATTAAATTACATCGTACAGCTGTTTAGAATAAACTTCATCCAATTCATTCATTATATAAGCAGTGAACAACAGCCATCAAAACACATCAAATGAATTTGATACGGAAAGAAGTGTTGAAACACTTATATTAATCCGCTTCAAGATATCATCTCATTAAATTTGACGGCACACGGTGTAAACAGTCTAGACTCAGCAAAAATGTGGCTAATTAGGAATGAGGTGGAAAAGAAAGAGATATGGTAGGTTGAGGAGGAGGAGGAGGGAGAAGAGTTTCCCGTCATGTCAAAATAATAAAAGTTTAGAAAATCATTTCACACAGACATAAATAAACTGTAGAAGCTGCGAGAATGTTAAAAGTCTAATAGCATTACCACAGAATTAAAATCAAAAATAATAAAGCACCAATCACATTTCTTAGAGCTTATGATAAAGGTTTGTACACATGAAACGGTCCTATTGTTTTCATCTACAGACAGCTCCCCGCTACTGAAGAGTAGAAATTGTTTTATATGTATGACCCGTCAAGACTGAATGAAACCAAATTCGATTGAACGAATTGTCAAAATCTAGATTGGTGTGTAAACTAGATTTATTTCTTAATCTTCATATATCTAATGAGTTGAAAATATATATCAAGTTCTTATAACTTCTATATCATATATATATATATATATATATATATATATATATATATATATATATATATATAACTTCTATATCATATATATATATATATATATATATATATATCTATATCATATATATATATATATATATATATATATATAACTTCTACTTTTTTGAAATGATAGGTAAGCTTTTATTAAATTGTAAGTATACTCAGCTCTTGTTATAAAAACAATTCTTACTGAACAATTCAGATAAATATAGATACATTAACATAGTTATAAAATAAATACATAAAATTATAGTCGATAACATGTACGTTCGATAATCCTGTATCCATACCTACGGATAAAGGATTTAGATTGTAGTATATGCTAGGATATATCATGCAGTTGTCATCCAATCATAAAGCTCTCGTTTACGGAGAAGCATCTCCATGATAAACTGTTTATCATAAAATGTTCGTCATAATATGTTAACTGGTGACAAAGTTGTACCTGTATCAATATATAAGGTGAGAGAGCTGGTGAAAAAAATGGACATACGAAATATACCACATAGATTGAAAATTCAGGTACGCGTTCATTGGGGTATGCCTTTATCGGGGTATGCTTTCATCAGGATATGACTTCATCGGGGTATGCCTTCATCGGAACGTGCCTTCATCGGAACATGCCTTCATCGGAACATGCTTTCATCCGAATATGCCTTCATCGGAACATGCCTTCATCGGAACATGCTTTCATCGGGATATGCCTTCATCGGAACGTGCGTTCATCGGAACATGCTTTCATCGGAATATGCCTTCATCGGAACGTGCGCTCATCGGGGTATGCCTTCATCGGAACATGCGTTCATCGGGGTATGCCTTCATTGGAATATGCCTTTATCGGAACGTGCGTTCATCGGAACATGCCTTCATCGGAACATGCCTTCATCGGGATATGCCTTCATCGGAACATGCCTTCATCGGAACATGCCTTCATCGGGACATGCCTTCATCGGGACATGCCTTCATCGGGATATGCCTTCATCGAGATATGCGGTCCAGACTGAAGTCAACATCAAAATTGTGTGTTTCTCTCTAATACACAACTGCTATGTTCTCGACCCTTACAGGTAACTTAAGATTGACCTTTGGCTAGGAAGTAAATGTTTTCTCAAGGAACTTAATAATGGACTCTCACGAATGTAAAATACCTACATATATAATGATTCTGTGATTCCTTACTTTATTGTCAGTAAGATTGTCGACGATTCGAACTGGTCAGTATGGTGTCAATAACTTGTTACCTTATTGGTGTCCTGTCAACAATTCCGGGTTATACAATTTCAATGTGATAACCATCCAGTTAAGGACTGCTTTCAGTTATAACTGCTATAAAGAAGACAAGAACCAGCTAACCGTTTTCAGTATAAGTAAGAAGAGGTATATATGATGACGTCATTTTCGTGTGTAGTGGTCAATGTGATGGCACCATAAATAGTGACTCCGTTATCTACTTCATCTGCTGGTCATACACACAGAAGTCCTATTTTATGTACATTTCCGCTCCAGGATGTCTATGCTTGTGTTCAGATACGATCTGTACGCTAGTAATTATTAAACCTGCGCAGGATACAAATTAAATCCTGCAGAATTCCTAGTTACAGAAAGCTCGTGTAAACATTTTACTAATGTTGTTTCTTCACGTGTTATGCACTTGTTAAATTTGATACGCGTGTAGTTAACAATGCATTAATTGGAAATTAAGTTAAGTACCCTGTGAGGAATTTTAAAATGCATGAAATCATTTTGCATCTGCTGCCACGTGCTTTGTTTAAGATTGTATTGTTAGCATACCCGACCATTCCGTTACTAACCAAAACCTGAGATTTCCCCTGAGAACATCAACACGCGCGCGTTCCTGCGGTTAATGATCCTTTAATGTAAGCGCATTTGCATGATCCTGATTAAATGAAGGGTAGCTTGGTTCTCTTATTTACAGCTTGTATGAGCTGCACCTTAAGGAATATCTCAAAGCGATAGCATTAAATCTTACAGTAAAACCAACTCTACAAACCCACGTGAATTTTATGTTTGCTTCAGGTTCTCTCAATGAATGTTTGTAAGTGTAATGCCTTAACAAGGCGTGGCTATCATGACGTCATTTTAATCACGTGATGATGTTGTGTTTAAGGTGTTCCATTAATTGATATTAAGATTCCATTCTAATTTTATATAAATACGTAACTAATGAGATAAACTGGACAGGTGTGGATTAGGTACACACTAAGATTGATCTTTTGTCATATATTCGTAAATACCAGGGCTATTTTGGTTAAGTAAGTGTGTGTGGGGGAAGGGGACAGCTATATATAAAGTATATTTGATAGATATAATTATATCTCATAGATAGAATATGCTTAATAGCTTAGACAAATGTATATCTATAATACAACTACATGAATGAACCGCACGTGTTGTTTTATTTGATGAATCAGAGCTTTTAAGTACGAAGAAATCCCACCGTGAAATGAAGTTTAAAAATATGTATGAAGATGAATCGTTAAATGTTTCAACCACATTTGATTTTTTGAAGTTATAACTACAAAAAGAACAAATGATCTACACACAGTCGTATGTTCAGACGTATTTTTGATCTACCAGGCAACTGTGAAGCACGGTATCCGGAAACTGATGATCATCGTCGTGTTAACAAGGTGCATGTATCCATCACTGGACCAGATGTCTGATGAACAACGCGATATTTTAAGCCCTGAAATCCAAGCTGTTTACATGTATACTTACCAGTGAATGTGATTACCTACACTGTACACAAACCATGTTTTACAGTCCGAACATCAAAAAGCTTGTACTTTGTATATACGATACATGATTGTGACAACATTTTCTCAACACTTTTTTCCCAACAAGCGCTTGTTTAACCTTGAACCAACCAAACTGGCCTGTGCAAACATAATTATTATACAGCCCAACCTGTCTCTCGAAAACACATCACAGATCACGATCAAAGTCTGCTCTTCGATAACTCTCATGGGGGATGGTAGCGGGATATCGCTGACGGCCGTAGCGTAGCGATAAAGCCCACCCTTCATGTGTTGCACAAGAACGCCAGATATTAAACGTACAGATCTCTTTTTAATGAAACGTTCGTTTATTCACATAATGACCCATGTCAGCGAAACGCTTGTTTTAGCGAAGCCTGATATCAGCTAGAATGTGTGCCTCGCTCTCATGTCGATGTTCTCCGTCTAGGTAATTAAATGTCGATAGCGAGGATCTTAGGTTTTAGTTATTACACTTACGCCACCAAACCAAGTATTGACGCCATGTTTTTTCATCATACCCATCATAAGTGTCGTGTTAAATATGATAATATATAACAAAATAGTATCGGAACACATGAGGCAGAATTCCTTGTATATACGGGAATATATCAGAATGATTTTGGCTAAATTTGTATGTCATTGTACATTCATATTATCAATCTTCGATCGCTAATGAGTTTAAATTAGTTTTGTTTGAAAAGTGTATCCAGTGAAAGGTCTTGATAAGTCTGTGTTGATTTTATAAATATATTTGTTGAATACGTATCAGGTGATAAGTACACATATGTGTAAATATCAACAGATGGCAGCACCAGTACACATCTACAAGTATAATCTACATATGTAGATATAAAATATAGTTGTATTATGGCGCTGGTGCAGCTCCCCGTCTAGATTTTGGTTTCCCTCTCATCACATTACGTTGTCCTCGTTCGTCTCCTCGGCTTCAGAATTTAGGATCTTAGCATCTCTGCCGAGTCTTAGACAGACTAACAGCTGTATAATGTAGGTGGTTTTATTGTTTGACTTGTTTGTACAGAACTCTAAACTTGTACCAAAAAGTATGTCATTTGTACAATCTCCGATTCTGGAAATGGTAGACACTGTGTGTGTTTAAATCCCCGATGTTTTGTGACTATCAAGACAAGTATAACTAAAAATAGCAAATTGTCGGACCTCCCTACCATATATAGAATATCATCGGTATGCGGTAGGAAATCTATCACAACGCCAGAACGATTCTCTCAAGTTTTACTTCGATATGAATGTAATGTGTGCTGTGTTGGATTGGAAATGTGTTGTGGCCTAACCAGGTCTGAATTTTATGTTTTCCGTGCTGTGAGTTGGTTTAGAAGTCTGATTGTCGATATAAAATATTGATGAGTTTTACACCTCAGGGGAAACAGTCACTCATAATCTATATCAATAATGGAAACGGAAATATTGACGCTACATTATGTTTTTTAAATATCATCACTACCACACAATACTAATGGTGTTTGATATCCATATAACAATGGGAACATCACTTTTAGTTTTATCATCGAAGTTAAATAATCAACTTCTCACCGAAAGCATTTCACCAAAGTTACATGATGTGATTTAAATGTCGTTACGTATTCCGAATGACACTGCCTTTAACTAATGTTCATCTTCACTACAAATAATGTGAAATTCTAAACACACAAACCACTTAGATATCTAGTTTATGGAAATTAAACGTTGAAGTAGCAAGTCGAGGGACGTGAAATCTTTTAAAACAAAAAAATTCTTAAAGTACACTAACATGTATAAAAAAAATCAAAATGAAAACTCGAAATTCATAACTTGATTGGCGGGAAGTTACAGATAGATCAGAAAATAAACAATGTAATTGTGTAACGTTTAGAAATCAACGAAGTGGCATTGATAAAACCATGCATTCGACTCAAAACACAAAAAGTGAAAATTTTAAGAATTTATCGTACAGTACATGTACTACTGCTGGTTAAAGTGACATTAAGTCCGCACAAACACCAGATCCTAAGAGGTATAGGGAAACACTCTTTATACACTTTATGCTGAACGTGTCTCAGAAGTTAATTAGGATCCTAAGTCTTAATCATGTATGGGGAGATATCACACACATACATATAATACCGATATCTGTTAGTGATCTCTATAATATCTTTGAGCACAAAACAGATAGCTGACTTAAGGTCCTGTCTGATATCATAACGTCCCTGATTTGTTATAAAAACGATCTAGATGTTCACTTAGGGATACATGTAGATAAATGTAGATCCAACGGTAGATTTCTTTGAATGTCAATACGTCCATGAAATCATCAGTTCTGTCTTTAGATCATGTATCTAGGGCAATGTAGAAAGATCGATATCATTCATGGTCAGTTTGATGGTCTTTAAAAAGATCAGATTTTGAAGTTGACATAATAAACTGCCATAGAAGATCTAGTACCTATATTGGACCATACCGTCGATATTACTTACTTGATTCTATATATAGAAGATCCAGTACCAATATTGGACCATACCGTCGATATTACTTACTAGATTGTATATATAGAAGATCCAGTACCAATATTGGACCATACCGTCGATATTACTTACTAGATTCTATATATAGAAGATCCAGTACCAAAATTGGACCATACCGTCGATATTACTTACTAGATTCTATATATAGAAGATCCAGTACCAATATTGGACCATACCGTCGATATTACTTACTATATTATATATATAGAAGATCTAGTACTAATGTTGGACCATACTGTAGATATTACTTACTAGATTGTATATATAGAAGATCCAGTACCAATATTGGACCATACTGTCGATATTACTTACTAGATAATATATATAGAAGATCTAGTTCTAATGTTGGACCATACTGTAGATATTACTTACTAGATTCTATACATAGAAGATCTAGTACCAATATTGGACCATACCGTCGATATGGTTTACTAGATTCTATATATAGAAGATCCAGTACTAATGTTGGACCATACCGTCGATATTACTTATTAGATTCTACACAATATATTACATATATACAACATACATACAACTTATCTAACTACAGTTGCTGCATGGATTTGATGTTTATATTTCATTACGCCGATCTTCGAATTCCCAAAATACAATCCAAATATACTTACAGTAGTATGAGTTTATAATTGGGATTTATGACTAATGGCATTAAACGAAATATCACAGACC